GTCTATCCAATTTGCCTCCTGCAAGGTTCCAATTGTAGCAAGGCGATCAGCCGCAAAGTTTTGCTCTCGAAAGATGTTTTTGAACTCAAGCCTTGTAAACTTTCTTTGCAGTTATGCTTAATCTCATCAATGATATCGCGATTAGGGCCCCTAAGAGAAGTGTAGTCGGCCATCCACTCTATAACTTGACTCGCGTCTGTCTGAACCTCAAGTTCCTTAACACCCTTTTCACAAGCCCACTTAATGCCTCTAGCAATTGCCAGGACTTCCACTGACGTCGCACAATTTGGACTAACATTAGCCGTAAAGCTCCCTTTCCACTCACCTCTTCTGTTTCGGAGGATTCCGCCGATGCCTGCTTTGTTGATAAGTGATTTGCAACTCCCGTCAATGTTAAGGGTCCATTCACAATTCTGAGCCATCCTCCACTTAAGCGGGTGATCGGTATAATTGGTAAAATTGCTCACCATTTGTTGCCTTGCAAAAGCTGTGTTAGTTTCTTTGACCACCTCTTTGATCCAACATGGCTTTCGTCTATCGTCAAGCTCCTCCCTGCCAAACGTCATAACATTTCTCCACCGCCAGATCCACCAGCAAGCAGTGGCAAAAATGATGCCCCAGTCACCATCGATGTTGTTGTTTCTCTTTTGCAAAAGATTTGCGTGGAACCAAGATGACGCCACCACCGACCTAGAATTTCTAATAAAGTATTGCCTTGGTTCGGGCGGAAAATCTTGCGGGTTTGTAGTTTTATCTGTTTTAGTGGGATACAAGTATACCCACGGATTTGATTTTTGCACACAAAAAGATGAAAATTAAAATGAAGAAATAAATAATATATATATGAATTGTAAACCTTTCAAGGATCGAAAATATGACCTTTTATTTGGTATAGTCATAGACTCATAACGGTGTCATTAAATTACAAGGTCCTCGACATATAAAAATTGTTAAGTTTTATTAAATTATATTATCAATATATAGGAAAAATAGATTTTATCACTTTTATGCACATGTATACATTACAATCAAATTTCTTGGAATGATATGAGTAAAATTTAAATCATACACTAACGCAAAACTTCTTTGTAATGTATTAGTCTAATTTGCTTTTTTGAGTGAAATTAAATAAATTAGTATTGTCAAATTTGTATTATATATTAATACAACGAAATCAAAAAATTTACAAAAACATAAATCTAATGAAATCATTGTTATCTTAATATGCATTACATCTTTTATTTAAATGATGCTTAATATGATGCTTGTAATAGTTTACTGATGCTTGTAATAAAATATTTAGAAAGTACAAAAAATGATTGCTCTTCCAAACAAAATTAGTTACTAATATAGACTAAAAGAGACTTTGTTTTAATAGATGTAACTTCTAAATATTTAAACTTGCATCCTTAATGCAAGTATGCAATTGTTTAATTATTATTTAGGTCATGCTAGGGATACATTAAAATGATGTACTTCATTTGTACACCAGGCAAACAAATGGGATATACCATTTTAGTGTTTGTGATCACTAAGTACACATATAGTAAGTATTTGTGATCACAGAGACTTAGTGTATGTGTTTGTCTAGTGTACAAAAGGGATATGCCATTTTAGTGTATCTCTAGCTCTATTCTTATTATTTTTAATTTAGTATACTCGGTAAATAGCATTCATATCGTCAATCACATTATAGTACCTACAAAGCTTTGTACAAGTGCATAATACATACTCCTTATTTTGCACTAGGGAAGTACCATGAAAACCCCACTTAGGATACATAAATTGTACCCCAATTAACAAATATGCACACATACACTTAATGAATGTGCACACATACGAATGTAAAGTGCCTGTATGTGTGCTTATTTGTGCAATTGTGCATTGTCTACACTTGGTGTACTCGAAATGATATTTCCCAAATATTATTCTTTGTACTAACACAACAATCAAAGTACTCAACATTATGTACTTTATAAATGAATATTAAGAGAGTGTTTGACAGTGATTAACTCGTGGGTAAAGTAATTTTCACAAAACCTGAAAGCTGAAGCACCATATATCTGCTTCTCCGAAATGGAGTTTTGTGTACAAAATGATGATGAAGAAAATCAGAAATTGGTATGCCAAATAAAATGTGTACCACTTAAAGCAGAAGCTAAAGTCTAAAAAGTAATTCAGTGCTAAACACCCTCTAAGGAGTATATGACTATGAAGAGATTAATTCGAATAAGAAAACATGAAGATAACTACAGGACAGATAAAATAAGATACTCCCTCAAACCAAAACAGTTTTTCTCACCTTTTTCGATCTTTCCGAAAATATTCTTCTCATTTCTTTTTTAACTTACTTTTTAGGAGTAATGTCAATCAATCCACCTACAAATTAAAATAGAGGCTTTTTTAAAGTTTGAAACTCTTTTTTATTCCAAAATAAATATGGGAGAATTTACTTAAATAGCACAAAAACATAATAAATTTCCCTAAATAACATCATATGTGTTTTTTTCCAATGTATCATTTTTAGTCATTATTTATTAATTACTATTCAAGTAAATGTTCATCATCACTGGATATTATTCCTCCTTCTAGACATTAGTAAATGCTATTTAGGGCATAAAACAGTTTAAAGTTTAAGTGCTATTTAAGAAAATGACTTAAAGTTTAGCGCTATATAGTGCAAATATTTCAATAAACATGTCAAATCAACACGGGAAAAAATATTTTCGAGAAAGTAATTATATGGACCATTCTAAATTCCAAATCTAATACTCTGAACAGTGTAATAAATACGCCGGAGAAGACGATATAGTTTCTAGTACATCAATAATTGTACTGTTCCCAACATTACATGATATAATCTTCATGAATTTTGGAGAAAATTGAAATGGGCAAAAGGTAATTTAACACCCCGATTTATTATTCACTGATTCGTGCACACCCATACAGACTTTTAATTACAACAATTTGTACTGCTGCAGTAATAAATCACTCTATGGTCTTTTAAGAAAGGATGGTGCGTGTTTATTGCCATTTTTTCTTGTTGGGTCACTTTTCAATGCATGGGATACCCAAAAGGAAAATGCTAGAGTCACAAACTTAAAGTTTAGAAATTTTACAAACTTGTTTTTTGTGGAATTAAAATTAAAATATTTTTTAATATTTGAGTGCATCTTATTTCTAGGAAAGTGCTAAAAAGGCAAGTTTGTGATTTTTGTAAATTGTTTGTTTGTGACTCTAGCATTACTTTACCCAAAATGGTACTCCGTATCTACTACGGCTTTTGTGAAAACTACTCCCTCCGTCCGGAAATTTTCTTCCCGTGTTGACTTGGCACGCTTATTAAGAAATAGTAAAAAATGCAAAATTTTCAAAAATGCACTTACCATAAACTTTTAAATATCCTTTTATTATTAAAAAAGTATTAAAAAAGTAGATTTGTGATAAAATGGAAGGGTATAAGAAGGAAAAGGGCGACGAGAGTGCCAAGTTGGCGGACTTACCTGTGCGTATATATTTTGAACTAACATAATTTTTTTAAAAAATTTAAAATAGTACGTGATAAAAGATATCATTTTAAAATATATAAAATTTATTAATGGGAAAAGAATAATGCTTTTTTATTTGATAGCATAATGCCTAATTATTTATGCATGTGCCTTTTTAAATTTAATGGGTTTCTTTTATCTTTATCTCTTATTCTTAACATAAATTAAAAAAAAATAAATTTTCCCCATTTTATCCATTCTCCTTTTTTCCAAGGATTGAAATCCCTTAAGGTCCGTTTGGTACACGGAATTGATGGAATTGGAATTGAATTGGAATTAAAATTTCATGGGATTCAATTCCATAGAATTGAATTCACCAATTCCAATTTATTTTTTGCACTACCAATTCCCAATCCACATAATTTTTTTACTACCAAACATGAAAATTGGAATTGAAGTCCTCAATTCCAATTCCATAGTTTGAATTCCGTGTACCAAACAGGGCCTTATAATATTTGCATTTTCTACGTACGTATAAGGGTATATATTTTAATATCTTTTATAAGTAGAGTTGAAGCCAATAAACATACTAACGCACAAGGTAGAGATTTTATGGACCTGATAAATCCTAAAAATAATTTGGAGACCTATGAAGTATTTTCAGAAATTATATAGAGACCTAGTAAATACTTAAAACAATTCAGTGACGTTACACACTATAAAAAATATATATACTTTTTTTCAAACTTTACCCATTAAAATATTTGTATTATTGTCTTCAATTTTTTGAAAATACTTCATTTGTTATCCAAGGCTCGTTTGGCAATATTTTACATATTTAAATTTTAGAAAAGTTGTTTCATTTAGTTTTAACATTTTCAAAAGCTAGTCCGACTTTAAAAATTGTATTTTATTATATTACAATGTAATGCAAACAGAGAATAATTTGAGTTTAAAGTTTATCCAGTTTAACTCGAAAAAAGTCAAACTAGATAAACATACTGCAACTGTCAGACTATCACTACCATAGTGCCATCCATCGCCGTCAGTCCCCACAATGCCGCAACCGATTAGCGACGTTGACCGGTGGTCCATTGACGTTTGATTGATCATTACCGTCATATTACAATGTCATCTCTTTCTCCATTACATAGTCAACAGTCAACACTCTTACATCACATTATCTTTATACTCATATTTTTATCCATTATTAGCGAGTGTCAATGTCCATTTTTTATTCAGTATTTATTTGACAGAAAAAAGAAAAGCAACCCTGATTTTTCACTTTTTTTACTGTTTAAAAAGAGGCTTTGCTGAAATCGAACGACAGACACCCCTTCCCGTAAAGTTACCATTCCCAACGAAGAACTTAACGCCGTCTCCCCCCACCCCTTCATCCATCCATCCGGATACCCAGTATAATACTCCGTAGTATATATATATCCTGCATATACGTATATATATATGCTGCATATACATATATATAGTACAAGGAACGTATATGCGTTTTGCTTTATCATCTTCTTGCAGCTCTGCTTTTATAAGCTTTATCACTCATTCACTCTCCCACCCACCAGAGAAATTTCTCCATTGCTACGCAACTTCAGGCTTCAGCTCGCTCCGACCCAAATACCCAATGGCTGTTTAGGACCTTTCCGGTGCCGGAATTGCAGCATTCCATGGGGAGCGTTTCGTCGGAGGAGGGCTCCGGCGGCGGCCGGAGCGAGAGATGCGGGAGCTACAGTCCCAGCGCCAACGTCAGCGAGTCCGACAGTTGTTCTAGCAGCTTCTCGTGTCCGCCGTTCGGAATCCCCTCCGCGACGGTCCCGCTGCCGCCGCTCACGCCTTCCTTCCCCGTCGGCGGCAACGATTTGTTCCTCTGGGAGGATAGCCCCACCCGGACTCGCCCACCCGATTTGTCCGGTTCGTCCCATTTTCTCCTCAATTTATTGATTTTCACAATTTCTGCTAGGGTTTTCGGATTTGAAATGCGCAGGGATGATAAATGTGGATGAATTTCAGAAATATTTTTTGTGTTTGTTGAATTTCAGAAATTGAACTGATGAAGGAGAGATTTGCAAAGCTTCTTCTTGGAGAAGACATGTCTGGAGGGGGTAAAGGGGTGTGTACGGCACTTGCAATCTCGAATGCCATAACAAATCTTTCCGGTTAGATTTTACTGGGTTTTACCTTCTCTTCATTTTTTTTTACCTTTTGTTAGATTTTACTGTTTCTGTTTTTCTTGTTCCTGATACAACAAGAACAAACCCAGTATTATCTCCATTTCCATGGAAAAAAGAGAGGTTTTCTTCTCTTTTGTGCTGTATATTTATTTGGAAAGAAGTAATGGGAGTTCATTGTGTTTGATTTAGTACATTGTTTACTTTTACTCAAAGCTAATGCATAGTAAATAAAATTGATTCTTTTACAGTGTGTTTGGATTGGAGGGGAGAAATTTAATAAAGAGACAACATTAAAGGAAAGTAGAAGATTTCTCAAAAAAAAAAAAAACCAAAGAAAATTTTCTCCTCCTTCAATGAAAATGATCCTTTTTTGGAAGAATTTGATATCGGTTTTTTCGGAGGCAGACATTTTTTTCAAAGAATGTTTATAGATGTATTTGTATTGGGCATTGCAGCAACTATATTTGGGGAACTATGGAGATTAGAGCCATTGCCCTCACAGAAGAAGGACATGTGGTGTAGGGAGATGGAGTGGCTCTTGTGTGTGAGTGATTCCATTGTTGAGCTTGTGCCTTCGACACAACCGTTCCCCGGAGGAGGTGGGGCCACATATGAAGTCATGGCCACGCGTCCCCGCTCGGACTTGTACGTCAACCTCCCTGCCCTCAAGAAGATCGATGCCATGTTACTCGCCATACTTGACGGTTTTCGTGAGATGGAGTTTTGGTATGTTGACCGAGGGATCGTATTGGCAGCCGAAGCTGAGGATTGTCGTTCCTATTCGTCGGGCAGGCCTTCGGTCAGGGAAGAGGACAAGTGGTGGCTGCCCTGCCCTAAAGTCCCTCCCAAGGGGCTGTCGGAAGATGGAAGGAAGAGGTTGCAACAGTGCAGGGATTGCACCAGCCAGATTCTCAAGGCAGCTCTGGCCATCAACGGCGCCGTTCTTGCTGAAATGGAGATCCCTAGGGCCTACTTGGAGTCCTTGCCAAGGGTAAGTACCATTGAGAAGTACCCTTCATTCTTCTATTCAAAGTTCCCTTTTTTTGAACTCTTCCCCTACAATTGCAGAGTGGGAAGACATGTTTGGGCGAGACGATGCATCGCGCCATCACATCAGAAAATTTCTCACCAGAAGCGCTTCTTGATTGCTTGGACTTGTCATCCGAACATCACTCTCTTGAAGTGGCTAATAGAGTTGAGGCTGCAGTGTATGTGTGGAGACTGAAAGACCATAAAACCCATTCGGATGCTCGAAAACCAAAACACAAGAGCTGGGGAGGTAAGGTCAAGGGCCTTGTAGCCGATGTTGGGAGGAGCCTTTTTCTGGCTGAACGCGCCGAAACCCTCTTGCATAGCTTGAAACTTCGCTTCCCCGGTTTACCTCAGACTGCTCTGGATATGTATAAAATTCAGTACAACAAGGTATTGTCATGCCCTTCCTTGTTCATTTGCTAATGGTCTGTTTGGATCTTGGGAAATGCTAGGGGAACAACAGAATATGAAGGAAGACAACATGGAACCTTCAATGTGATTTTTTTTCTACTCAACTTTTTACTCTTGTTTAATCGAGTCCGGTTCTTTTGACACCTAGGGTCAATCTCGTAATATGACACTGGTCCATTTGAAGGTCATATATGGTACCCATTCGACTCCAAAGTGATTCCTACCTTCTACCACCCCAAGCCTGCCCCTTTTCCTATTTTAGCCCCACCACGTCACGAGTGACAATTTGTTGTCTAAATTATCTGATTGTGGATTGTGACCCGTACGGGTGGGCTGGGGTCAGGGGTAGGAACCACATTGGGGTCGACCGGAATATCTTTCGGCCCTCAAATGGTCCTAAAGAATAAGGGCACATTTGATCATTTTTTTTCCCACTCTTTCTAACCATAACAAATCCCAATATTGTAGGATGTTGGGCAGTCAATTCTTGAGAGCTACTCAAGGGTGATGGAGAGCTTGGCATTCAACATCATGGCAAGGATCGACGACGTCATGTACGCGGACGACGCAGCCAAGAGCTCGGCCTCAAACGGGTCGTCTTCCATCTTCGACCGCGGGGGATTGGGCGGTCGCCCGATCCAAAAACGGATGTCGCCCAGCCCGTTCTCCATCCACCACACCCCTTACACCTCCCCATTCGCCACCCCGACATACTGTTTGTCCCCTACATTGACAACTAGCCCAAAAAGAACGTCTTCTCCTCCTCCCCCTTCGTCAAACAAAGGTAAGGGCAAACCGTGGACTTACGCCACGACCAATCTCAGCGCCATAATGGCGTCTAAGGATGCCCCGGAACGCGATTGATTATCCCAGTTGGAGTATAATTTTTTCATTAATTAGCAGAGTTATTAGTATTTTATTAGATGATATAGTGTTAAGTGTAAGGGAAGACAGGAGACTATAATTAAGATCATGAAAAGAGCTGCAGATATAAAGAAGACAGCAATCTTGTAGAGTTTGTTTATGCTGTATTATATTATAGCTCTCTGCATTTTTCAATGTATATTATATTAATTTTAATTCTGTCTTTTTTTTAAAAAAATCTTTCAATTCAGCTAAGTGTCATTCTTGAGATTAAAGTACTGTTATTTTGGCATTATTTTTTTTGAGAGTAATTTCAGTAATTTGTACTCCAAATAAAGTTTTACAATCATTATAATTTCTTAAAAGAATTATTAGACTTGATTAAATAGTGGTGATTATTATTAATTTTTTTATAAAAAAATAAAAAGTGGTAATTTAGCTGGAGAGTGGTAGACAAAAAGGTTGTAGAGTTGCAAAATGGTGTCAAGTCTTCAATGTGGCATTGACTAGTCTCCAAAACAATAATCCATTTTATAGACAAAAAAACATAGCCGGAGTATTATTGAAAACTAAAGTGGGAGATGTTCTCATGCTGGACCAATCATGGAATGTAGGATGGCGCCATGCTGTTTTATTTTTGGGCAATGCTAGGGGTACACCAACTGTTAGAATAAGTGACCAACGCTAGAGGGGGGGTGAATAGCGTTTGATCGTAGAAATCGCAGGAATAAAAAATTAAGAGCGTGAAACGTAAAGAGCGTAGAAAGCGTAAAGGGAGCACACCAAGATTTATACTGGTTCACCACAACGTGTGGCTAATCCAGTCTCCCGAGAGACTCTCTCGAGCTACACTACTTCCGTTAAGCTTACGGGTGCTTAACAAACCGTTACAACCTGAGAACTCGAGTCCCACGAGCCTCAACAACACTTGCTCGGAGATACCGCACTCCAAGACTTCAACCCGAAGGAAAATACCTTTCCTTCGTACAACCAAGGGAAACAAGCTTCCCTTAACGTGTATACAACACTAAGACACTCAAGAACAAGACTCTCCTTAAGAGTGGATATGAGTAAACTAAGAACGCTCAAGAACA